AAAGAAAGAAAGAAAGAAAGAAAGAAAGAAAGAAAGAAAGAAAGAAAGGTGAAAAGTGTCAAGGAAGGATACATTTCTGGCTGGAATGCTGAACTTTCAGTTGCTGTAAGAAAAATGGTACAATCTTCAGAAGAAACGTGGCTCAAAAGAGATGTGATGCCTGAAGATCTGAGACAAGACAAAGATATTTTCTCAGTGGTTTTAAAGGGCCTGATTCGCTATTGCCCAGCTATTTGTATGTTTACTCCTGTGCAAAGCGAGGTGTAACGGCTACTGAATCAGAACGGCGGCATTTCATACCCACGTTATACAGGAATCAGTAACGACACAGGCGCCAGGTGGTAAAGAACCAGGCCCGCTAGTCTGGCAGTTCAGTTCCCAAGGTCACACCAGGACAGTAGCTCTATCACAGTCCCATGGCTGTGAGACAGAGGGGACCTGGCAATTTAAGGAAAGGATAACACAGGGACAAAAACAAAGCCAAAATCATGAGTAAGAGCCAAAAGCTAATAAGAATGTAGCCCCAAGAAAAGCAGTGATCTAGATGACAGCTTTACTAAGTCACAACGAGATCTGATCAGAGTTAGCCTGACGGTGCAGGCAGCCCATTGCTTTATGGATAACCAACACTAGACAAGAACATTCACCATAAGTTGCTATTGTCCAAGGCAAAGGCTTTCAAGATTATATGGAAAATGTGTTCTTCAATTCAGATCTTGAGGTCCTTAGTCAGTCTGTACTCAGTCCTTATTCAGCAACCCCCCCTCCCCCCCCGTGACTGAATAAAAACTTACCAAAGACATTGAGACATGGCACTTTGTTAATAAACCAATGAAATGTCCTGAAGATTACAGTTACTTGGATTGTGAGCGGTTTGCAGCAGGGACCATTGTTTTGTTCTGTGTTTGTACAGCACCTCGCACCTCTATAACCGTGAGGGCTAGACACTACTGCAAAATAAATAATAGAGGAGAGTGCTTATAGCGGTATTAGAAATTGGGCAGGAACACCACGTTTTCAAGCTGGCTCCGAGTACAGCACTCAAAAATGTTTTCTCTTCCCCCTCACAGGATGTTTACAAGGTAATTCCTGCACCCTCACTTTTCCTGCTTATCAAATAGCCATTTTGGAAAGAGAGGGAGCAGTTAAAACAAAGTGAAAGAATTAAACATGGGAATCCAACATGAAGCTTCAGAGGCAACTTTTTAGAAAACTTGGTAGAGGGCTATTTGGTCTTAGAGATTAGCTGTGATGAAAAGACCATGACAGACAATAGCTGGGATGATTTTAAAATAGACTTGGAATGAAGAAAGAAAAGCCAAAGCAAACATCCCTTCTTCATCCCCTTGCAAGTCTGCCGCCATAATTGGCTTAATGGTAATTGGCTAAATCTCAGAATGAATTCACTCATAACTGGATACTTCCAAGAGAAGCAGAAAATATGCTAATGTGTCTCTGACATCTGAGCAACCAGACTCATCGCTTAACCTTGTCAACAGCAAACAATCAATTAATTGGCCAGGACAGATCATCTACAGTAGCAGCAAGCGGAGCCTTCAGAGCAAGTATTTTAAAAACAAACAAATCAAGCAATGTTCCGGTGGCAGGAAGCAACATTGTCACAATAACCAGAACAAGAGCCATGCTGCAGTGTGTGTTTGCCATGGACAGAGGTCTCTTCGGCTCCAATTTTTGAGTAGTTTGGTCAGAAATACGTCCACAGTATGGCTCTCTCAGATATTACAGATAGGCTTCAAGTGGTGAATTGTGTATCCAAATCTAAACTTCCACCAGATTCAAGGCTGTTCAAATCAGACATTCCAGTTCAGGCCCTTCTGTATAGGATACTATTGTGTGGTAACCAGTCCCTTACTTGACTGCTTATCCCAGGTCACAATTTACAGATATCCGATGTGATAACATTACAGCAGAGACTGAGTTAGCAATTCAGTGAGCTGGAAAGAACTACAGGATCCTGTCTGTGTCCAGAAGGCTCAAAAAAAAAAATCCCAATTATATTAGTTACCACCAAGTCCTGTCTCTTCTCTACCACAAGGGACGGGAGAGATGCCTTATACAGAACTGATCCTGGCAGTTGGTGTTTTTAGTCCCACAACAGACAGCGTAGCTGATGGACGATGGAAGCTAAGGGCAAGGAAGGAGGAAGTTAGGTTTAGAAGTAGGAACTCTGCAAAGCAGAGTGGAAGGATGTGGAAGGAATGAGGAGCTCACATCCGGAATCAGAAAACATTTACACACACAAAATGCGATGGGGTAAAAGCAATCAAGAGGCTCATCTTATAAGGCAAGGTCTCAATGAGCTTGCCACCAGGAAGGTAATCGCTATGTAAGACTGAATTAACCTTAGACAATGTGTCTAGTGTTTTGGGCACAACAGGCTTTCTCTGAGCACTTCTTCATGTTCCACTTATTTTCCTTCCATGCAAACATACTGAATGTACCTAACATGAGGGAAAACCCTCACTCATCAGTCCTGACTGGGTTTGCTGCCAGACTCCTTCCATGCTCTGCTGTTTTGATTAGACAGGAGCTGGAGTGGGTCATTGCTTTTAAGTGGGTTTTGACCTAGGAGCACTCAGGGGCCACTGGGTAAGGCTGGTATTTTGATACTTGCGCAAGGGACTTGGAATCCCACATGCAAGGCCGGCTCCAGGCACCAGCGAAGGAAGCAGGTGCTTGGGGCGGCCAATGGAAAGGGGCGGCACGTCCGGGTCTTCGGCGGCAATTCGGCAGCGGGTCCCTCGGTCCCTCTCGGAGGGAAGGACCTGCCGCCGAATTGCCACCGAAGACTGAAGTGACGGTGGTACAGCTGCCGCCGAAGTGCCGCCAATCGCACTTTCCCCACCCCTCAGCGCTTGGGGCAGCAAAAACACTGGAGCCGGCCCTGCCCACACTGCACGCCTCCAATGGGAAAGCTCTCACTGAGACCCACACAGTCCTTTCCCGGTGCTTTGAGATGAATGGGAGCTGGTCCCAGTGTAATACTGTATCAAACAAGCGTCTTAGCACAGCTCCTCAAAGCACATCAGCAATAGTAGGCCGGGGTATCAGCTATGGACAGTGTCACAGCTACAGCTGGATGTAAGGATGGCAGAATCTGGCTCTGAAGGTAGCCCATCTTTTAGGCATTTCTATTAATCACTGGTTGCAAGTCCCCGTTGTAAATTATAGACAGTATCACAGCTTGACAAATCCCATTTCACTTCCTGAGCTGAAGCCAGCTTTTTGGCAGCAGTGGAAGTTTGTTTTAGTGATCTTGTCAGCACTGCAAGAGTGCTAGGGATTGTGAAGTGATAGAACCCAATTCTCTCTCCTGACTGTTTTCCTACAGGGAATGTGGTAGGAAAATGCTTGTGGAATTTTAAAGGGGTAAGAAAAAAAGTCTAAAAACTGAAGTGTCATTTTTGAGGGGAAGAGCAAGAATGCCCTGCCTCTCTTGAAACCCCTGCTGGTCTTTCTCCCTTTGTTCTCGTCCATCCATCTGGTCTCTCCAAGAACGTGGAGCCATATTACTTGCACATCTAAAGTCTAATCACATAAAACAGGATTGCAGCCCTGAAAGAAAACTGCCAAGAAAAATGAACTGAAGCAATTTCCTCCATCCCCTCCTTCCCATCCCCTGAAAAGACAACTGCAGTTAGCAAAAATGACCTGTACAACGAAGACTGCAGTCAGCCACTCAGAGGAATACTGATATTGGTTGCTATTCGGGAACTGGAGCAGCATTCTATCCAACAGTTTGGAAATTCTTAGCAACTGTTTCTTAAGAAGTTCATCCACAGGTCTCACCATAATTAATTCTCCATTATAAGGAGTTACAGCAACTCAGCTCCAGATTTCAAGCCAACCAAATCTGAAGCTCTCTCTCAGGGACGGCTCTGGCTTTTTTGCCGCCCCAGGCAAAAAAGCCTCCGGCCGCCCCCCCCCCCCCAGCGGGGGGGTAGGGGGGAGGGCAGTCGGAGCCCCGGGGGGAGGGCGCCGGGGGGAGGGCGGCCAGAGCCCTTGGAGGAGGGCTCGGCTCTCCCCCCCGGCGGCCAGAGCGCCGGGGGCAGGGCGGCGAGCCCCAACCGGGGCTCGGCTCTCCCCCCGGCGGCCAGAGCGCCGGGGGCAGGGCGGCGAGCCCCAACCGGGGCCCCGCTCTCCCCGGCGGCCGGAGCGCCGCGCCGCCCCCCTCCAGGTGCCGCCCCAAGCACAAGCTTAGTGGGCTGGTGCCTGGAGCCGGCCCTGCTATCTCTGTAGCAAACACATCAGGGAAGCCGTTGTTTCGGCAGTCTTACTTGTTTCTTGTTCCAGGTTCACCCAGACTGTCTTTGTTCCCTCTCTTGCTTTCTCTTAACCAACTACTCTCTGCCAGTTGTCTCTGCCCACGTCTATCCCTTTGGTCATTGGAAGGCGTAATAATGTAACTGTGGCAGACAGAGGGAGGATGTAAAAGACAGAGAGCAAAGGACAGTGATGAGGCAAGTCTTAATTAGCTGTCAGTGGCAGGCATCAGAAAGAGATTCTGGCCTCTCCATTTCAAGACAGCTTTTCTCTTTGATAAACACTGACACATAACTGGTACTGTACAAGTCACAAGACACTTAACCTCTCTGCTCGATTTATCAAGCCCCAAACAGTTGTAATAGAACAGTAATTACCTCACAGTGATTAAGTTAAATTGGCAAGACAGATACTGGAATACTGTATAGAGTTCTGGTGTGCACGTGGATATTAAAAAATCGACGGTGCAGAAAAGAACTGCAAAAATGATTTGAGGGCTGGAGAAAGTGCCTTACAATGAGAGACTCAATCTGTTTAGTTTATCAAAAAGAGATTGAGAGGTGACTTGATTACTGTGTGTATGTACCTCCATGGGGAGAAAATACCGGGTACTAAAGGGCTCTAATCTAGCAGGGAAAGGCATAACAAGAACCAATGGTTGGAAGCTGAAGCCAGACAAATTCAGATTGCAAATAAGTGAGGGTGAGTAATCACTGGAACAAGCTACCAAGGAAATGGTGGATTCTCCCTCTCTTCAAATCAAGACTGGATGCTCTTCTGGAAGATATGCTTTAGCCAAATACAAGTTATGCTTTAGTCAAACACAAGTTATTGAACTCACTGCAGGGATAAATGGGTGAAATGGCCTATGAACAGGAGGTCAAACTAAATGATCTAATGGTCCCTCCTGGCCTTCAACTCTATGAATCTATGAAGTGTAAAGTACTTTTAAGTCCTCGGATGAAATGTGGTTAGATGTATATAGCATAATGGACCTCATTACAGGGAGTTCCATCCAGCTGACTCACTGGCAATTTTCAATTTTGACAATAAGTAACCCTCAAAGAGGAAATGATTGCTGTGAATTTCTGAATAATCCCCACTACATGCTCATCAAAAGTGACTGCCCATTATTCACCATCTGGGCCAGCATATTTAACTCATAGCTCTAGTCGCTTTTTGATGCCTCCTTAACCCCAGCTCTCCTTTCAAAAGCCTGCTCTGATATCGCAGTGTTCCATAAATGATACTCCCTGCCTCTCCAGACAAAAACAGCCAAGGCTTAAAAGTCATAAATTATTCTAATGAAGTGAACAATTTGCATCTCAAATGAGCCTGGCCTCAGAGGAAATAGCAAGCAATTCCCACTCCTGCAGTCTTCCTTTGCACTTACCACCTGATCTGTCTTGCCTCTGTAGACCTTCTGCGGAGTGAATTTTAATTTCGGTGACTATGCGAGGGTAACCACACAGAATGCTCCAGCATGTCCATTTAGGCTTATCTAGCTTCAGCTCCCTGAAAGATCAAGATTAATGGATCAATTCAAATAGATTATAAATCTTCGGCGATGAAGGTCAAGCAACAAAATGGTGAACTTCAGTGGAATTTTGACCTTTCTGGAACATCAGACTTGTAGTTCTTCACCTGTTTATTATCAATGGTTTCTGTTACAGGAATGTCCTATATTTAAGTAAATAAAAATGGCATAATCTTTCATATGACAACTACACATGGGGAAAAAAATACTTAAAGTCACCGATATTAATATCAACGCAAAAACATAATGGGTCTAATCTCCTTTCGCACCAGTTTTACCCTGTATACGTCCATTGGTTTCAACTGTGTTACTCCAGATTTTGTCAGTGACCCACTCATGGGTGGTCTGGTGTAGTGGTTGGAGCAAGAATCTAGCCTATCAGAGCTGAACCTAGGTGGTGCAGGTTGAGGAGCAAAGCCAAGGGTCACAGCCTAAGCCAAAGGGTTAACCAGAGTTGCAGTCAGAATATGTAGTGGAAGATCAGAGAGTCCAAAACCAAAGCCTAAATGGAAGGGTTAACCGGAGTTGTAGTCAGAACCAAGGGTCTGAGCTGGGAGTCTGAAAGAAGCTGGAGAAGGAACAGTTAAAGGCTGGGGATGGAGCCAGACTAGAGAGAAGCAGAGACAAGGCCTGGACCAAGCACAGCTGTCGGCTAGGGATGCATTGAGCAGCCACTAGAATGCTATTGCCACTGAGCTTAAGTAGAAGCCAGCTGAATCCTTCAACCAGTCAGGTGGCTCAGTCAATCAAACAGCATCTATCAGGGCCAACTGCACTCATTAGGTTGCCAAGAGACTGGTTCTGCTGCAGGCTAGTCCCCTGACAGTTTTACACTCATGTGAAAGAGAGAAGAATAAGACCCAATAAATGAAAAGGTTCACTGTTTAGCTGACATTAGGGAAGCATGTGTTTGGGAGATTGCACGGCTGAAGAGAGTGGTAATGGTGTCAGGGGGCTTTCCATCAGTAGCTGCCCCGGTTAAAATCCACACCAACATAGCAATTTATAAGATGTTATTGTCATCTGTGCAGTGGCCTGTGATGTGAGTGTGGTGATCAAAATAACCTCTCCGCCAACAGCACAAACGGGCACTCATGTTGAAAATGTCACAGTAGAGAGGTCAAAGATTGAATGGGCTATGGAGAGACAATTATCTTAGGCTTGGTCTACACTTACCCCCCAAGTCGAAGCAAGGTACGCAAATTCAGCTACGTGAATAACGTAGCTGAATTCGACATACCTTACTTCGAACTTACCGCGGTTCAGACGCGGTCCACACGCGGCAGGCAGGCTCCCCGTCGACTCCGCGGTACTCCTCTCGTTGAGCTGGAGTACCGCAGTCGACGGCGAGCACTTCCTGGTTCGATTTATCGCGTCCAGACCAGACGCGATAAATCGAACCAGGAAGTTCGATTTCCAGCCGCCGAACTAGCGGCTAAGTATAGACCAGCCCTTATCATCCCTACAGGTGATCCTCTCCGGATCAGGCCATTGTGGGGGAAGTTTGCACTGCAGCTGCCCACCATGCAGTCCCAATTCTATGAGCTTTCTGAAGGCTGACTTCTGACAGGGACCTCAATTCAGTATCCTATTTTGCAGGTGCAAAATTTGATGTCATTGGCACGTCCAACTGCCTGGTTTGTGACCTAGTCATCTTCCGTGACCCAGTGGTCTTTGGAGGGTTAACCACGTCGGTGAAAGGGGAACTGGAGTCAGTGGGAATAACCTTTATACTGTTGTAAAGTAGCAAGTACCTGAGTTTTGATGGCACATCTGTAAAGAGCCTCAGGATAAATGCAGTGACAATGCCAGGATAGTGTGTTGTTGGGATAAGAACATAGCGACCCCGTGCAAGGAGCTTCCTCAGGAACACAGTGCGTGTATTGACATAAATGGAGGTTGCCACTCGCTCTTGTATTTGCAGCTTGTGTATCCGATAGTCTCTGTTAAGCTCCACCTACAGTTATACAGCAGAACAAGATCTGGCATGTTTATTTCTCACTCACAGTCTTTCTTGCTGCATTGTTTGGTTCTGGTTTCCAGAATGCATACACAATGATGTGCTGTTATGTGAGCAGGCAAATCAAACGCTGGGTTCCCTAGCCAGCCCTACATAACCATTGCAATCTCTAATGACAGCTTCTTGCAAACTTCATAGCAACCTACTGTCACTCAACATTTAAAAGAAGATATTAGTGTTACGTACAGAGAGTTGGAATTTTTTAATGATCTTTTAAAATGAAAAACTGCCCTTTTTTTCTAAATAAAATAATTGAATTTCTTTGGAAATTTTTCATTTTTTGACAAAATCAGACATGAAAAATTGATGTTTTTCAATGTTTTCATTTTTCCTGTTTCTCTCCCCTTTTCTCTCTCCCCACTCTTTTTTCTTTTTTTTTCTTTTTCTGTTTTGCCCCTGACTGGAACAGCCTTCCAAGGGGAGCAGTAAGGGCAAAAAAGCTAACTGGCTTCTAGACTGAGCTTGATAAGCTTATGGAGGGAATGGTATGATGTGACTGCCTACAATGGCATGTAGCCGAACTGTGACTGTTAGTAGCAAATGTCTCCAGCGGCCAGTGATGGGACATTAGCTGGGGAGGGCGCTGAGTTACTACAGAGAATTCTGTCCCAAGTATCTGGCTGCTGGGTCTTGCCCACATGCTCAGGGTCTTACTGATCACCACATTTGGGGTATGGAAGGAATTTCCTCTCAGGTCACTGAGGGGGATTTTCATCTTCCTCTGGAACATGGGGCATGGGTCATTTTCAGGATTGAACTAGTGTAAATGGTTGATTCTCAGTAACTCCGGCAGAGGTAAGGGATCTATAAGAGGAGTGGGTGGGTGAGGTTCTGTGGCCTGCAATGTCAGACTAGATGATCATGCTGGTCCCTTGTGGCCTGAAAGTGAGAATGAATGATGTCCAGAGTTTGCTTTTTATCCCCTCATTTTTCTTCTTGCTACTTTGCAACTTTTGAAAATGTCCTCAACTTTTGTAACTTTTCAATGTGGCCATAGGAAACAGGGGGAAAAGAGACAAAGGTTTGTACACTGTTCATTCTGTTGCATTGATTGGTAAAATGAAAAATAAGGGGGGAAATGAGAAAACCAGCCACCCCCCCCCCAAAAAAAACCCTTCACATTTCAAACATGAACATTCTAGATAATTTTTTTGTAACAAACTAAAAAAAATTGTTTCATTTCAAAATCTGAGGAATGAAAGATACTTCAAAATGTTCTGCAATTTCCCCTTTCCCCCATCAACTCTAGTGTTGTGTGAACTGTTTTATACAATCATTATAAGTGCAATAGTAGAGGCTGTCAGGAGGAGTCTGAGTGGACACAATCATGTCTCCCGCATGTGGCTTGCCATATCCTGCTACTCCTGTAGCTCAAGAGGCAGGGGGTTGAGCTTTGAAACTGAAGGGTCCCAGTGACGGCCATGGTATCTGTTTATGTATTTGCAGTAACTGTGCAAGAATCATGTTGAGAGATCTCAGGGGCAGTTAGAACCCATCCTGTGTGAACTATACATTTACCTGCCAAACACCCATTGCTGAGATGAAGCTGCAGTCAGGTGCAGGCTTCCTGAAGTCAGATCAGTTCTGAACCCAAATGAAGATGGTGGCCTACCTTGAAGATTTCAAAGCCAATAGGGAAGTTGTCCCCTTTCCCATCTTTCTTGTAAATGCGCTGATCCTCTTGCTGTAGTGAAATCAGCACTTTGTCCTCACCCTTCTTGACATCGAAGACATACTAGCAAGGGGGAGACACAGAACAGAGAACCAGCTGTTAAGGAGAACATCTCTGGGATACTGTACACAAGGGCATACTGCAAAGGTACCCAGAAATGGGTTTGTCCCTGGAATGATGGTTCTGCATCCAGGATCAATTCCCAACAAGTTTTATCTGGAAATTAGTTACAATTGTAGGGATTTTGAAACTAATAGTATCAGAGATATTAAAGGCAGTGATTCATTCAGTGCATGCTAAAAGAGAATGTCTCCAAGTAGCTATTGAAGTGGCATGACAGCAGATGTGCTCCGAAAACAATAGTAAAAAAAAAAATCATAAAAAATATAAAGGGGTAAGGAGATAAAGTTAAACAACAAACTCCGGACTGTGCATTTGCTCTTTTTCTACATGGATCTCCAAGTAGGGCCTGTTTACTCCAGATATTTTCCTTATCAGTGACATGAAAATGACAAATGGGTTGTATCTGATGTATAACGAAAGCATGAAAAGGGTTTTTTGTTCCACACCCCCCAGATCCCCAGTTACTTCAGAAATGTCCGTTTTGGTCTTTCCTGGTTTTGCTGGAAATATTTGGAAGACTCAGAGAAATTGATTGAGAGGGTGGTTTGCATTTTTAACGAAGAGATATTTTATCCCAACTGTGTTTAAGGGATTTTAGTTGAATAGGTTTCAACAAGACCAAACAAAAATCAAAATATTTGTACAGCCTGTATAAATAGCACTTCCTTGTCTCAATGAATCATGCTTCACTTGTTTTTTAATTATGGTATCACTATCCTACTAGTTCACCAGTGATTCAGAGTCTTTCAGAGAAAAGAGAGTACAAGACCAGAATTTCTAATGTATAAAAGAAGACCCAAAAGAGTGTTTTTTACACCACAAAGCAGCAAACGGGGCCAAACACCAAATTCTTTCCCCCTTCACAGACACCTTTACATTCCCTGTTCGTTCCTCATTCTTGCCACTAAGGGGCAAATCTAAGTTGTAGGAAATTGTCAAGGGAAAGAAATGGTGTTATTTATGTCAAGATTAGGAAGATTGGATCCCCTCCCAGATTATGAAGCAAATGAAAAACAGTATCAAATTGCAATGTGGCCCAACTGTGCAGCACACCGATCTTGCTTCATGTTTTAAAGAGAATGCTGGAACACTGTGACCAGTATTGAGGGTAATGTAATCTGTAGTATGTTTAGTTTTCTCCCATTCGATGCTGCTGAAAAGTTTTCCTCACTAGTTCTCCTCAAGGGTGGACACTGGGATTGCTTGTACTGTTATCATCTAATCTACCTTCTGGTGATTTCAGATTCCTCTGAGTCACGCTGCCCTATAGAACGAGGCATCTTCCCTTCTTTCTCCTCTTTACTCTCATGCTTTAGGGCAGTATCATTTTAACTTTGAGGAAATATCAATCTCTTGCAGACGAGGCAAAATGAAAGCTGTCCTCCCAGGCTCTCGGCCTATTATTTCTTTCTGATTTAACTGTTTCTAATCAGGACTGAGGGGGCTCAAGAATCTCTACCTGAGAAGCAATAAATAGTGAGAACCACTGTTCTGGCTCCAATTTTGTTCTCCTAGTAGCCAATAAAGTAACCAATAAGAGAAATTAGCCCTGGGCATGTGCTGATAGTAGACTATCAAAATGCTTAAATTCTATTATTTTGCAAGGGAAGTGGATATCTCATAATCCCACTGTGAAAATATTTGCTTCAGAGGAGGCCGTCAAGGGAATTAGACTGTTCCCTCAGGTGGGTGAGGGACAGAAATGGTCTCTAGACTGTTGCAATATATGGCATAGGAACAAGGTAATTTAATTTGTCCTTAAGTAAAGGTAAAGATTTCACAGGAATGCTATTACCAATCTTTGAGTGTATCAGTCTAGAGACAGGATTTAATAAAAGGAACTCTTTTCACTGCATCTGATCTATAACTTTCTTCTTACATCAGGAACTCTTCTTTTACTCTTCTTTCTTCTTTGAACACTTAAAAAGTAGACCCACACAAACACTAAGAAAATGTCCAAGATCAGAAAGAGGAACTGCCCCCCGTGTGAACTGTATAAATTCACACGAGCGCTGATCCTTTTCAAGGGAGACTGTTTGTGGAAGAGATAGAAGAGAAGCCATTCTTCCCTGCTAGGCACCTAAAGGCAAGGACAAATGGGGAGTTACAGATGATTCCTAGTCTGAGCAATGAAGATTGCAGCTGTCTGATGCCCTGCTAAGAAAATAGAAGGAATGCTGACAGAAACCACCCATCTAAATGTAGACAAGGAGGCACAAAAACAGCCTCTGCAATTGAAAGTATGAGGAGCGCTGCAAAAAACAACAACAGAGAGGTCAATTTTCAAAGTAATACATGGAGCACTGAGTGCCCAGCTCTCACTGACAATAATGGAAGTTTTGCATTTGACCCCTTGTGCACTGTGCCGGCAATGTAGGACACGGGGGAGAGTGAGGAACCAGCTAACTTTGATAGCTTGAGAGCAATCAGCTAGAACAAGAAAAAGAGAGCCTTGTGAGTAGCAATGGGAGAGACAACTCTGGGGAAATTTCCAACTCATTTGCATATTATGGGGTTTTATATATCCTTAAGGAACCTAATCAGTGCAAAGGGATACCCCTTAATCACACTCAGCCAAAGTCTCTACAGGATTAATACTTTAATAAAATGGATTGGTGCCAACATAATATTTGACCAATGTTCCTTTAGGTGTTGGGAGAATGGACATGGATTCAGGGCAATAGGCCACTCACCTCCCTTCATCATTGTCCAGGAGGGACACTTCCTCCTGCCTTGACCGTGTGGGCCAGGCTCAATATAGCTAAAAATGAGTCTTAAATAAATATCGATATACTCTGCAAGGTATTACAGACATCACTGAAACATATATGAGTCTTTATACTGTGACAATCTCTAACAATGTTTAAACCTGGCTGAGATGTTTGTCTAAAAGTTCTGCTCTAGGAATTATTTTGGGGGAAGTTCATGGCCTGCGTCCTATGGGAGGACAGAGTAGGTGATCACAGTCCCTTCTGGTCTTGGAATCTATGAAACAACATGCTCCCAGGTGGTCTTTAAATGGAAATGCACAGGCTTCTTGTTCAAGAGTGACCATTGACACCCAAGTATTGTCTTCTCGATTCAGTGTAACTGAACTCCAACCTGGGGATTCTGTAAGAAGGTGGCTCTGTAATCGAAACATCCTCCGGAGCGGTTTTTCAGTGGTTCTGAATGCTTGGTCCACGCCCCGCGCACCATTTTTTTCTCCCAGGTTTTGTGGATGCTGAAGTATGAAGTGTTCACAATACGACAGACGTCAACGTCGGTGAAGTTCTGACACCAGTCATCAAATGTCATCCTGAGCCAGGGACACAAGCAAGGCATGATTTGTAAAAAAAGCCTCAAGCTCTGCATAAAAAAGATCATCATGCCCATCTGTGGCAAGACCCCGTATGGCGCCTTCTAAAACTCAAGTTGAGGCATCACTCATCTTTGACGGTAACCCATCTGATCCTAAGAACACGGTTATAACCACAGGGCTGGAATTGGCACTGTATGTCTGGCATAGGGCGAATGCCATCTTTGTACTTGCTACAAAGGTTCTATCTACAACACAGACGCAACCATTTCAGGTGACCTTGTTATAGGCCGTTGGTCTCCATACATGGTTACAATGTGGGTCCCTCCTGGAGTGTACTCAGGATTTAAATACAGTTTAACACTGTCCCTAAACTGTGCTATGGCGTGTGACACAGTTAAAACCCATTTAAGTCTCATCTATAAGAGTGTTTTAACCAGGAAACATTGCTGTAGTTGGGTCACCTGACATAGTTGCCGATGGTCCGGAAGATTAATATCCAGTAGGGTCAGTCTAGTAATCATGGATTGGGGTCTCTCCTGACATAGAAGAGACCTAGAACCAAACTCTGCATTTAACCCCTTGTTCCCAGTTCTGACAAAGCTAAGAGTATGCAGTGACACACTGAGCCTTGGGACTGGAGAATGTCTTTCGATAGTGACCCCTCCCAGCTGACTCATCAGGGTTCCAGAGATTCTCTCTGGAATACAGCGCCCCAAGCCTGGGAAACAATGACTAGGATCAAAATTAGTTAATTACGTCCTTATTTACAGGTACCTCACTACTACAGTGATGGGTGAATTGAAAATCCATTAGGTAAATACTGTACCAGGCAGATGCAGTTTGGGAGAGTGCCTGACATTTGATAGTGTGCCATGCACAAATCAACTTAGGAAGAAGGGAATTTTCCTAAATACTGAAGGATCATGGCTTTGAGGTGCCTGAAATGTAAGTACTCATTCAGGCCTAGGTATTTTGTTCCATTGTTTCTTTCACACGTATTCCATCACCAGTCCCTGAGAATCTGAAGAAACACCAGTAGCTAATATCTAATGTCAGTAGCTGCAGAACAATCACAGATTCTCGTGCATTCAGAGAAATTATTCTTGAGGGAGGTACAACACCGGGACTAATAATAACTGTTGAACTTAGCCAGCTCCAGTAGAGGTTCCCCAAGCAACAGGGACATTTTTACTCACCAGAACTCGCCATCATTTTGAACAGTGAGTCCCAAGCTCTTACGCTCTGAGTCGCTCACTTTCTTCCATTCTTCAGACCTGGAAGTAAAAAGTGGTTTAATACGTGAAATTAAACCTTCTCACTTGGAAACAGGTGTTTATTGTCCCCTCACATTAAAATACTTTCTGAGCATTGACGAGGTGGATCATATATAGGGAAGCTTTGTTGTCTCACACAGAGGCATTTTTTAAGTCAGCACCGATACATGGTTAAAGACAAAACGCTAAACACAGTTAAAGCAGCACTTGATTTACTTCCCTTGACAGCTTCTCCCTCAGTATAGCTGAGCCATTGGCTTGGAAGCTCAGATTTGGATGAAATTTCCACATGAGAATGACTTTATTCCTCAAAATGTACATGAGCTGCTCTGGAAACACAGCCTGAATTTCCTCCTGAGCTGTTTATCATGCTCTTCACTTGGACGGGAAGGCATTATCTAAGGGGTGGCTACACGAACATTTAGTTCGTGGCAAGCTGGGGTGTGATCAACCCCACATTAGCCTGCCGCCATCTAACTGTTTGTGTGCACTCTGCTGATGTACATTAACAGTCTGCTAGTGCACTTTGATTTAGTCCTCTTTCAAAGAGGGCTAGATGAAAGTGCTCTAACAAACTGTTAACACCCAGTCCTCTTCAAACCAGGCCTAGATCAAAGCAGATTGGCAAACTGTTAATGTGCATCAGCAGGGTGCACGAACAGCTAGACCGCGCAGGCTGGCGTGGGGTAGATTCACATCCCATTTTGCCGCAGTCTAATTGTTCATGTGGACAAACCTTAAGGGCAAGTCTGCACTACAAATTGACATCAGCACAGCTGCACCAATGCAGTGGTGCTGCTGTAGCACATCTGGTGAAGACACTCTAAGCCAACAGTACAGAGCTCTCCTGTCGGCTTAACTCCACCTCTGCGAGAGGTGACAGTTATGTCGGCGGGAGACGCTCTCCCTCTGACATAGCGCTGTCTACACAGGGCGTTAAGGTCGGTATAACTACGTCGCTCAGGGGTGTGGATTTTTCAATGGGCCAGCTCCACAGATCTTGTTCATGCCAAACTCTACCAAAGTTAATGGGAGTTTTGCCAGAGAAAGGGCTGAGAGCGCATTTCAGAATCTGGTCCTCTGTCTCTAGTATAAATCAAGACAACTTGTTTCTCTTTGTATCTGGCCAGCTCAGCACTTTATTTAAACTGGGATAAAGCACCGACTGAAAGTAACAGCCTCTTTGTCAGATAAAAGAGGAAAGACAGGGAAGTTGGTACACTGTCATTAAGGAGCATCATATTATTGTTAAAAGCATTGATTAAATGCCCTAGAAATGGCCAACCGAAATGTAATGTATTATTTATTTCTGGTAATGATTAAGGCCTCGGGTCATGGAACAAACCCAGCAGAACCAGTCACTCTGCTCCTCCTTAACTCGCTGGAAGGGTCTCTGCAGAACCCATGACCCATGTGATGATCCATTACAAAGTCATTTCAGAAATAATACAATTTGCACTTTGACGGCACATTTCATCAGCGCCTCAAGATAGCCTAAGAGGGAGCATTTTTCAGATGGGAAAGTGAGCCACAGAAAGGCTCAGTGGCTTGCCAGGATCATCCAGGGGGTCTGTGACGCAGTTGAGAATGGACCTCCTGTCCTTGACTCATCAACCTTAGGCTTTAACCACAGAATGATGCAAGAGGCATGCTGCAGTCCAGAATGTAAAGTAAGCCACATCTCCCTCATTGCAGCAGGATGTGGTATCCCATTTGTTCGTAGGCTGCTACGCTTGGGAAGAGATGTCAGAACACTTCCACCGTCAATGAGGCTCTTGCCTGGTGGAATGACATTGCATTTCATAGAGACACAAGTTGGGTGAGGTTGTATATTTTATTGGACCAGCTTCTGTTGGTGGAAGGGACAAGCTTCCAAGCTCCACAGAGCTCTTCGTCGGGTCTGGGGAAGGAAGCTCGAAAACGACTTACCTTGTCTCTTGTATCCTGGGACAAACACTGCAAACAACATTGTGTTTCTTAGCATTTAATCACACATCTAACTTCCAGCAGCCACAAATGACAGCTGAATTATTGTGACACAGAAGCCCGCAGCACGTACTGGTCACTCCATGCACCGTTCCACTCCTTCTTTCCCCACGGATTCCTCATTCTGATCATGAAGAGCTTTTCTGACTTAAAAGAGAACAGGAGCCTCTCTCCGAGGCGCACCTTCTGAATTGCCGTCACCGAGTAGGCATGGCCTATGATCAGACCCATCTTTGTCTCCACCTCGGTGTCATTGGGGGATGAAGTCTGCAGCACACAAAAAAAATCCCACAAGGAACTAATATGAACTTCAAAATCAATAAGGGCGCCTAGCGCATACACAGTCAAGAGGTTTATTTTTTTACATACAACTATGGGTTCCCTTGTAGAAATATAATAACAGAGGAATTGCCATAATGGATCAAAGCCAACATCCCTCTAGCTCAGTATCAGGCAGCCTAAGGATCCAGGGGACTAGAATCCTGATCTGAGGAGGTTGGGGCAGCTGATGTTCCCACATCACTACCAGGAGGCCATACAAATCCAGAAATCCAGAGAGTACTGTGGAGATTAGGCACCGCAGCATGTACTGCCCAAAGAATCCAGACAGACAGCACTCTGTGGCCTTCTGATTGGCCCATGCTCACTATTTAACCCTGGAGGGTGGCCCAGGAAGCTGTCTGGGCAACCAGGTAGGTTTCTGGCTTGCTGTGATGCCAGACCTCAGCTTATTTATTGATCTCCAGTCTCTGTCCCCAGCCGGACCCTGACTCTTGCCTAGTAACTACCTCGACTCTGAACCTGACCCTGGCTCTCACCCATTGATCCCAGTTCTAGTGATTATGCTGGTCCCTGTGTGCTGACTACTGCAGTGTGACAGTCTGTGCCTCTCTTGTGTATGCTGATACTATCAGATTAGTTTCCTCTGGGGACCTTAAATCAGATTTGAACTAGGTCTCCAGATGTGACAGGTTGGTAGTGTGTTACCCTGATGTACTGCCTGGCCTGATCAACTACTGATCTAAGAATGTTTGACAAATGTTTCTCCTGCACTTGGATTTCTATCTGTTTTATGCAGATGGGGCTAATTCAAAGCTCATTGAAGCCCAGGGAAAAGAGACTCCTGTTTAATAAATGGGTTTTGGATCAGGCCCTTATATTGTTTTTCTTTCACGTTGGGCCCGGTCCTGCAGGCCTTACATACTCTCTACACAACCAACACTCCCATAGGAGCATCAGGAATGAGTTGTTAGGGTTTGGCTCATTGCATTTCTCAGTTCTCTGCATGGAACAGAATGACCAAAATCAAATCTCAGCGACGATACAAGCCTTTGTTCTGGTGGGAGAAGTGGGATGGACTACAGCGCTGATAGTGATGTGTGACCATGCCAGCCATTCTTACCCATTTCAAATCAGCTGGAAGATTTGAGCAGCTTGATATATAAATTAGTAAAAAAAAGAAGCAACAGAGCAACTTCTCACCACCTCTAACTATCAGATCAGGTCTGAGTGATGAGCTTGAAATTGCAGGACTAATGCCAAGACCACAGTGTATTTCAGCGACAACAGTTCACAAAGAATCAGTTCATATGTTATATTGAGAGCCACTGACGTTTCCCAGGGCTTTCTCTCCCCTGCCTCCAATCTAACACTTTCTTTCATTTGTACTCTTCACAAATAAGAGCACAAGTTTCCATGACAGCAAAGGAGTCTATAACCATTCCTGCTTGTTAAACTGTAGAACCAGAAGAATCTCCATTAGCGACTGCACTCTTCTTTTCAGCAGGATGGCACCTGGCTTTTTCACTTTCTATTTAAGTTTTTTCCCCCTTTTAAATAAGAAATTTAAACTGCCTTCTGTTTGAACTGCCAAATGTACAAGCCCTGGGATGTTCTATAAACAAAGGAGCATGTTGGGTCATTTCTAAATTGGGATGTAAGCCACTTAAGTATTAAATATTCTGCAGTTAGCAAGCACTGTGGTGTGTATAACACACTTAACAGAGCCGAGAAGTAAAATGCTAGTGAGGCAGTTTTATACACCATGATAAATCAATAAATATAGTGCCTGCATAACAATGTTGAGAAGCATTTGTATTTTATTTGATTAATTCAAAGGGCAGAAATATAATTCCAGGGGAGAATGGAAAGCACTAGCAAGTGCTTAATTTTATTCCAACCAGCTAAAGTTTTACCTTTTTCCCAAGCTCTTGTTATTAAATAAACAGCCTCAGCATTTTTTAGTGATAATTTCAATCACCTCCCTGGTATTTCTCTCCACTACCATCACATTACCAAGCAGGATGCCAGCCTGAGGCTTTGGGGGAAGTTAGTGATAGAGCTTGTCAGAATTTTTTTTTAATTTTGAGTTTCTGTCAAAAAAAAAAAACAAAAAACTCCCCAAATATTTGGATTCTGAAGTGCAGCTGCAGTGCCTCATGGGAGTTGTAGTTTGGGAGCCGCATGCTCCCATGCTCCATTCTGTAGGCTAGTAGTCCAATCAGGGAGCCGTCTCCCAGGCACCATGCTCTCCCCTCTTGGTGAAGGGAGGCAGTGTATTGAAGCAGTGGATGCCCAGTCGTAGTTAGAGCGATGATTCTTTGGGGGACCTCCACATTTAGTTGACTTGCTTTGCAATCATGGGAGAATCTTTCGGTTACCATCAACTTTCTGCTGCAGAAATGGGGCAGCACTGATTGTTCTGGGATCGGCACTCAAGTGCCAATGTTTATACATTCATATTTTCATGGAACAATTTCCAAACGAAGCAGGTAGTTGGGAACTCATATTGCAGACTATAAGTTCTAACCAGTTAATCACCACAGGACTTCTACGGGGGAGGTAAGTGGTATAATTTCCATTTTACAAAGAGGGAAATGAAGTTGAGAGGTTAAGTGACTTGACTAAGCCCATAGAGGTTAGCCTTGGCATTTATAGGTCTCCAGAATTGAAAGGAGAGGGCAGTGCAGCCAGGAGCTTCATAGAACCTTAATGCTGCCCCGTCTGATCTTATGGAATTATCCCCTCTCCCTTATATCCCCAGGGCTCCTGTCCAGAAAATAACTAAACACAGTTTCTAAATAATTTAAAAATAAATTCACAGAAAATCCTAAAATGCATGGGGACCAGTTTGTTTTCCCTTCACTTGTGATGTCATCTTCATTTAAGGTGGGATTTTCAATGGCTTTCAGCACTGGCCTAACCCTGCTTCCACTGAAGTCAGTGAGCGCTTTAGCATGGGTTCTGGGGAAGCAGAGGTAGGCCAGTGACCAGCACTTTTCACAACCCTGCTGGTAGCTCCTTGGGGCAGGGAGGATGTCTCTTTGCTGTCTTGTAAAGCATTTAGCCTACTTTGGGTGCTTTGTAAATATGTATAGGACAGTCTTAGCCAGCAAGTATTCACAGTATTTTTATTTGACCAGAAGCTTTAGTGAAAAACAAGAAGCCCATGTTCCTGCTCTGAACGGCTGGATGAGCTCACCACTTCACTCAGCTCCGGTACTACATTGACACAAAGATGGCCACGTCACCACCGGCAGGAAGAAGAATTGGTAGCTCAGTGCTTGGAAAAGTGATTTTGTAAACAGGTTTCAGCAAGAAGTTAAATGTCTTAAGGGGACATGGTACCACCTGCCTTGGTTGGAAGTCAGGATATTCTAAATTTGTTCATCTCTGCTCAAGTTACACATTGGGTACCTCTCTTCATTCAGAAAGGAGAGAACTTCACATCCATGTTAAGGTCAATGGCGGGGCACGTGACTGTGGTTTCCTGAATTATAGCTAGTGGCTTAGGGAATTGTTCTTGGCTGACAGCATTGCCAAGTCATTAGCTTTCTACAAACAGCCTTCTCAAAATCCAAATTAAGGATATACTGAATACATTTATGCTAAAATCGTTTTTCCAGGCAAGAAAACTCATCAGAATAAATCATTGTATATCAAAGTCTGCACACATACCGCGATGGAACAGCTGATTAACCCGCCTCTTTTATGTACTTTCAGCAAGTCTTCAAACAGCTTCATTTGCTCAGAAATATTCTCACAATATTTGCCCTTTACCAGGTCAATGGATTCTGCCACTGCTCCAGTGAAATCGACAATTGCATCTGCAGCAGTGCCTCCATCCAGGGCTTCATAAGACTCAGCCAGCCTAGAGGTAAAATGGAACAAATTGACTCACCTTATGGCTGTTAAAACCAAGACAAATGGGATTATTTCTGTGTAATATTTGAGACCACCCAGAAAAAGGATCACAAGTGTGTCTGAACAGCAGGGAACTGGGAAGAAAGCTTTGTTACACTGCTATGCAATAGACTTGAGAGCGTCCCTAAGATTCCTGCTCTCTGAATTGCTAGAATTAGATGTAATGAAGAGGAAACATGCTTTTTGTAAGAAGCATGGGAAGGGGATCACTGCCTTAGGAGCACCTCCTGGCTAGAGCTGGTCAGAATTTTTTTGTCACAATGGTTTTCTGTGTGAAAATGCTGTTTTGATTTTTTCCCCAAATTGAATCAATTTCAACAAAAAATGTGGATTTTTTTTTAATGTTGCCATGTCCAATTTTCATATTTTCAGAATAAAAAGTTTTGATTCTTCGTTTCAAAGCAACTTTTCATTTCGAAATGTAAAAAAAAAATGCAAAAAGATCAATCAAAAGGAAACACTTTGAATTTATTAAAATGAAATGTTTTGACTGACCTGAAATGATTTTTTTTCCAGAATTTTGTTTTGCAAAAAATAAAATAAAAATTGAAATGTTGGTTTTTTGTCCAGAATTGGGATGATTTTTTAAAAAGTTTGAAATGTTTCACAATAATGAAAAGTCTGATTTTGACCAGCTCTGCTCCTGGTAGTGGATTAACAAAGGGTCCTGGAGGCAGTCTCAAAGCTACATATTCTCCAAGAGCAGCACCAATTGGGAAGTAACATGGGGAAATCTGATAGGGGTGAGAGAGGAAATCAGTAGCATCTGAAATGATAGGGTGAATTTTTATGTGTAGCTGAAATCACTTAAAGGACATTGAGTTAATTCATACTTTGCATAAGCTTTCTCCAGTAGTGCGCTCCAGAATTCATTCTCCACGTTGGAATGGCAGTAGATCAGCTCCCCATTAATTGTTGGCAATCTATCGTCTATGACAACATCAGTCCACTGTCCAAAATACCAGAACTGAAAGTGAAAAATCCCAGCATATTTCTGGGGTCTCTTTGAATCCCATTCTTGTTCCTTAAAGCTTGGAATCACCTGAGAAATGAAGAGAAGCACAGTTCACCAAACACGAGTGAGACCTAATCAGGGGAAGGCTTGAGCTGGTTCCTTGGCAGCCACCACAAAGAACACTGCTCTGGCAGCCCAGTCAGCCTCTGAAGATCTTAAGCTGAAATCAGTAGAATTGCACCCTCCCACATCAGTAGTGAATTTGGTCCCAAAGTACCTAAAGTCCCATTTTGTGCAATCCATGCGGAGAATGAAAACCTACCCTGGGGGAGGCTACATGGCACTGGGGTGATATTTGCAGTGACTGATAGACGCACCACAGTGCAGGTGCCCCCTGGTTCTGCTACATCCTCTGCCTGATACCAATGAGGATATGGGGAAATCCGCTCAGTAGAGAGTTGCTTTCTTGTCCTCCAGGCAAGACACATAATAACAAGCCATGGGAGCAGCAACTGGTGAGAGGGACGGCATATAAAAATGAGCAGCTAATGAAAGTTTGGACCTCAAATGCCTGCTACTCCCCAGCTGTATATTCTTCCTGAAGGGAAGGGAGAGGAGGTGTGGATCACTGGTTATGCTAAATTATCATGGAGAGGAGGGAAAACGAGCAGGTTTTGCACTGACAGCTGTCCCACCCCACTGCAGGACACCTCGGCTCTCCTTTGGGGACAGGCTTTATGTCAAGCACCAAGCATATTGGGTCACATACGTTTCGCCAGAGATTCTCCCGAAGAGCCAAGCAGGAGCAAGCCGCCACAAACCAGCAGTTCCCCAGCTTCCCTTGGTGCAAGTCATGGGCGCTGATTCCATTCACAAACAGCTGTGGGTCTTCACAGAGCTCCTTACAGAACAAAAAAGAGAAGTGACTGGTACGCTTGGGAGCAAAAGTATTTAAGAGCCCAGTGGGGAGTTAGAAATGGAACTGACAGGACTAAGGGCTGGTCTACACAGGGACATTCAGGAAAGCTAAGGCGAATCAATGAAAGGTGTGATGTTAATGCACATTAGACCCCCATGTGGATGATCTGATTTAGGAGTAAAATGGCTTAGTTTGCTGTAGCATGGAGGATTAAGCGACCGTACACTAAGGCCATTTTAGTCCTGAATGAGAGCATCCACGTGAGGGTTCGATGTGCTTTCCATTACGTGCATTAACTTCACACCTTTCATTGATTCACCTTAACTTTCCAGAGTCTCCCATGTAAAGGTGAATCAATGAAAGGTGTGAAGTTAATGCACATAATGGAAAGCACATCAAACCCTCACGTGGATGCTCTCATTCAGGACTAAAATGGCCTTAGTGTACGGTCGCTTAATCTTCCATGCTACAGCAAACTAAGCCATTTTACTCCTAAATCAGATCATCCACATAGGGGTCTAATGTGCATTAACATCACATCTTTCATTGATTCGCCTTAGCTTTCCAGAGTCTCCCACGTAGACTGCCCCTGAGCTGCACTGAAATTCCAGGAGCAGGCCGGAGAGGGACAATTCTAGTTCTCCATGGTTCCACAGACCCCTCTAGCAGTGCAGCATTAGCATTAACGGGCATCAGTCGCACCATGTCTGCTTGTGGAAGCTGTGCCTTATACACAGGAACCGTTTCAGGGGTGACATATACATCGTAATTACAGCCAAGGGTTGGATGGAGCAGTTCTCAGTCACACATCACAGCAACACTTCTCTGATGGCCTCAACCAGTCTGCAGCATTTAAGCTTTTATTTTTTTTTTTATGTTCAAACTTGGAAGCTTAAAGTTAGGCACTGAAATCCATAGGTAGGGATGGGTTTTGCAAAAAATCAGCTTTGGATGGCCCCTGTGCCATGTGAATCCACTTCCTAGTTCCATTCACCTAAATAAGTGGCTTGATTTTAATAAGTGCTGAGCATCTACAGCTCTCCCTGAAGTCAAAAAGGAACACAGGTACCCTGCCTCTCTGAATGTCAGGACATATAGTTAGGTGCCTACATATGGATTTAATTGCCTAATTTAGGCACCCATATTTGAACATTTTTGCCTGAGTTTCTAGCTCTTCATACAGTATGAATGGACATACAGAATGATGGAGGGTAACATCTGACAGTGCATTTTGAGGAAAGACATGAATGAGAGGGGAGTGATCACTCGGCACCCATGAGCAGGGAACTTGCTGCAAAGACAAGATTGAGAGAAAGAAAAGAAGGGAGGGGTAGGCTTGGGCAGAGCAAAGGGGTCAAAAGAGGAAGTGGCTAGAAAGGATTGCCCCTTATACTGGAATGCTATAATCTTACTGCTTCTGTCATGGCTTCCATCATGGCTGATACATCAGGGTTTGAACCGGGGACCTCCAGAGGTGAAAACATGAGCCTTGTTGTCCGCATTGGCTTTAATTTGCCTCTCCCAAAGGTTTTCCAAAGTTATTTAGACACCTAACTGCCAATGAAATTAATGGGCACCAAAAAGCCTTTGAGGATTTAGCCCTATGGCTCTAAGCGTGTAGCTGCAAGTATTCAACAAGCACAGGGGGCTGAAAGAACACAGCTTTTTGAGAGTGCTGGCTTTGTTAGCATTACTGACCACTCATCTCGCGCTCCTCAGGAAAATAGCGCTTCTGAAATCATACCGTATCGACATGCGGTGCTCAGTAATTGGGGTCTATGCAACTCCAGTCCCACATTCCCAGAGATAACACAGCTAGCAGCACCTTGGAAGTTTGGTGTGCTTGTAACCTGAAATTCACACTTCAGTACCAGCAGAACTGCATTCTAGAGACAGCAAGTGAAGTGGGGGGCAGAGAGGGATGGCAGTAAGAGTTGAAATGGTGGCACGACAGGGGCAGAGGTGGTAGCAGGACGAGTGTGGGAGATGGAGTGTGTAGCGATGGAGGGATGGATTCTTTTTAAAAAAGGACATTGGGCTTGGGTTGGTTTTTTTTATCCCAATACTATTTTACTCATTTAACAGCATTTATTGGGAGAACTGTTGAGCATTGGGAGACACAGGCAATTGATCATTATTCAGTGCTTTATTATTCTTCTGTCAGTAATTCTTACAAGTAGACTTCATGTATTAAAAATTTTACAAGAAACTTTGAATAATGTAAGTTACAAGAGAAAGTACATGGAAAATCTGGTATTGCTGGTGTCAGCTATGCACACCAGATTACTTACCTGCACGATTGACAGATTCATTATGTTTAGCCGGAATGTACAGGAGCTTTAGCACAGGAACTGAGGGCAGGAACTTCAGCTTCTGGTTACGATTTAGACCACCTAAAGATCTGGCCTTTTCTTTGCAATGGTGGTAAACATTCCAAACCCAACGAGGATAAATCTCTAGATTATCTTTTGCTGGACTTCTAAGTAACACGGTCAGTAATATTTTCTAGTTTGTTTTTCCTGTTGAAATGTTGTCATTGGCATAATTAACATGGGGTGGATTTGTTCTCAGGAACAAAATAATCCAAACATTTTTGTTGTTGTCTCTTTAGGAAGCCAAAAAAATATATTGTTGAAAGAAATTAAGCACACCCATATTTGACATGTCCAAACAGGAAATTAATCTTATTTGTTCTCCTTGCCAAAAATAGCCATATTAAACTATTGAGGGGATTGTTACATAGACGTTTGTCAAGTGTCTCATATAGGCTTATGTAGAGACCCAAAGAGGTTGTGTCAAAATGCCAAGCATGTGGATATGATTAGAGGGAACTGACCACTATGACCCAGAGTAAACACTGGGCTGAAGAGCTGATCAGCACTGCTTCCTTGTTTTTTTTAAGAGCCTGCTTGACACATTTTTACCTCCTAAAATATTTAGCATGTTTAGAATATTTGAAGCTAAACAATAAGCAAAAGCAAATGATGTGATGTATATTTTATTTATTATTAATCACAGACATTGGAATAGCACCCACGACCATAGTATCTTGGTTTAGATTAGGCAAACAAATAACTCCTATGTTTCAGAGTGGTAGCCGTGTTAGTCTGTATCAGCAAAAAGAACGAGGAGTACTTGTGGCACCTTAGAGACTAACACATTTATTTGAGCATAAGCTTTCGGGGGCTAAAACCCACTTCATCGGATGCATGCAGTGGAAATTACAGTAGGAAGATATATATACACATAGGACATGAAAAATGGGTATTTTCAGTTAATCAGTGTAATCAGTTAAGGTGGGCTATTATCAGCAGGAGAAAAAAACTTTTGTAGTGATATACTGTTTCCTTTTTTTCATTGTTTTTGCAGTCTATCAGGAGGAATTGATAGTGTAGGAAACCACTGCTCCATCTAATCCAGATCTCCTTTAAGAGAGTCAGATATCTATATTGCAACTATCATGATCATCAGGCTTTTGATAATGCTGTTTCTATGGCTCCCAGGGTCCTCTTCTGATCCTATACCTGTTATTTCGGTGCAAATCCACTGAAATCAGTGGAAATACACTGGTATAAAACTGGTGCAGGTGAGATCAGAATCTGGGCCAAAATATTGGCAGGAAACCCTCTTCTATATATGATGCTCTGTTTGTCCCTTTATTGTTCTTCTCAGTCAATTTGTAACCTCATTGCTGTAAATAATACAGGAAGAAAATATTTGGGTATTTTGCTTATATGTTCAGAGAATTCTGCCTTAGAAAACTCAGTTCTCCCAGTTGTTCTTCAGTTACACATATCTGCATTATGTGTAGAATTATAATTGCCAACTGTATAGAGTCTGCATGGAGTCTGAAAAGTAGGCAAGAGGTTATAGCTGCTTGAGATTCCACTGAAAATGATGATGTCCTTATTTTCATACAAGACTTTTATTCAGGTAATTGGATTCTGCTTGTGCCATTTCCTATTCGTATAACTCTGAGTGATATATCTGTAATTTAATGTCACTCGCACACAGATACTGTGAGAAAGAAAGTGGCTCACTGAACCCCTTTGTCCTACTTTAATTGGTATGGCCCTTTCTGAAAGCTGGCGAGCTGTGAAACGGTGAAGATAATAAATGAACTGGCTAGTAAGCAAGTTCACAGAATACTGAGCAGGTCAACATGGTAGAGCTCATTACTGTACCTGACACACAACACAAACTACAATTTTAGCTGGTATATATAGGTTTTCTTCTGCTTGGGATCCACAAACTGTAAGCTGGGACTTCACAAGCTGCTGGGAAAGGGTTTGAGTAGTAGGGGAGTTGGATTTTGTATGTGGATTGGGTTTTTTTTTTCCCTGAGGAAAACATTTCTTGAGAAATCCCAGATTTTTCAAAACCCAAGATATAACTGGTAAAAGGTCAACGATTTAGTAGTTTGACTCTGGGTCATCAAATGGTTTGTACATCTCTCTGTAATGGAATTCTTCAAAGACGATGAAGGACTGATATTACTTGTGGCGAAAATCACAATAGAGAATTAGACACCATTGGGAGATTAATTCCAGTCTAGAAGGTTGTTTGCAAAATGTGTAATTAATTGCAAATGGGCAGGTAGAGGAGACAATCTGTTATCCTCTGGCAGTGGTTCGGGTGGTTCACACTACTAGAAATAACGGACTTTAGAGGAGCTTAGCTTAAGTAAATGGCTCCTTTTATCTGTAAAAATGTGTCTTGGTCTAAACCAGGGGTCGGTAACCTCTGGCTTGCGCCTCGCCAGGGTAAGCACCCTGGCAGGCGGGCCAGTTTGTTTACCTGCCGCATCCGTAGGTTCGGCCGATCGCGGATCCCACTGGCCGCGGTTCGCCATCCCAGGCCAATGGGGGCGGCGGGAAGCCGCGGCCAGCACATCCCTCGGCCCGTGCCGCTTCCCGCAGCCCCCATTGGCCTGGAGTGGTGAACCGCGGCCAGTGGGAGCCGCGATCGGCTGAACCTGCAGA